TTAAGCTTAAATAAAAACGCCAAAGCTGTCATATTGCATATACCTGTTTTGGATCAAAGAAAACTTTGATTATTTGTCTATCTACACCTTCCAAATTGATTAATTAATGCGTGCACGCTTTCCCTAGAAGTAATTCACACCGGAGACAAAGTTTCTGATCAGTGAAAAACCCAGGAATGCTTTATTCCCCGGAGTGGGGGCTCCTTCTTAAAGCAAAAATACGTCACAGTTTAAACATACAGTATACATTCACCAATTGGTTAACAGAGAAAGGGGGCTCTTGTTTAAACCCCCCTACAGAATGGAGCCTTTTAAGGTGCCATTCATGCCATTCATGCCATTCATGTAGTGTCATCATTACACACTTTTGGATACACGATGGGAGGGGGAGTGAGTGGTATCTATCAGTTCTAAACCAATGATCCTCCATTTAGCTATATATGGCATATAGCTGTTAACTGTCACAAAGGTAGTGGGGGAGGGGAGGCTAGCAGGATGTGAGGAATTTACATAGTAAACAGCAGCTGACCACATTGTAGGGGGGGAAGGGAATATTTACTCTAGAAGCCAGTTTTAACATAGTGAACAGAGAATAAATAGACATTAGTAAATAGCCATTTTATTTTAATTCATCTGTCCATAACAGTCCCCCCTTAAAATGGCAATTTTTACTAAAACTACTATCTCTCATTCTAATACTGTCCCTATAGAAAAATAACAAAAGGCTATCTTGCACATCTGTCTGAACAGGCCTCGAACACTTCACTGCGCGGGTACCCCATAGCAGCTTGTCCACTACTTCTCCCGCGGCAGACTTCTGCCCGTAGAGACAGACGCTATCCCTAAATGTCCTTAAGAGGAAGTAGCTGTTGATTTAGTGCGGTGGGACTGTAAGGGTGTATGTGGTGTATCACGGTCGATATCGTCAATCTCTTGGTGAAGGAAGGTCGGGGTGGTCTGGTCGATTGCCTGATCAACTGTCTTTTGTAGGCATTTCTTAAGACAGGGTAACACACAACAAACAAGAAGAGCGAGGATGATTATCGTTATTAAAATGGCAACACCTATTTGGGCCAAAGCACCTTGCCATCCAGACATCCATCCAAACCATCTTTCCCATGGATCTGTGGCCCCAGAATTTCGTTTCAGTTCATTGGACAAACTCTTTAACTTTTCTATTGCCAACGTTACCTTACCATTAGGGCCTGTATTATCTGGAATATAGGTACAGCATGTCATGGTGTCTGGGAGTATTTTACATACTCTCCCTTTTTCTGCTAAAATCATTTCCAAGCTTATTCTATTCTGGAAGGTCATCTGAGAGATAGTTTGTAACCGCCCTATCCCACCATATATCCCATAACAAGTATAGTTCCCGGGCTATATAGTAATGCCTTCGTCTGGGTTAATATTTTTAGTAATGATTGGGTATTAAGTTTCCATGACTCGCATGCTGACCGCTTAGGTTTAAATACAGTGTAGAGACTTAAAACGCACACTTCATATCCGGAGGAAGGTTCAGGGATACTGTACCTGGGTGAGGCCTCGCTCCTCTGCAGACATAGCAGTTAGACTTGTTATGTTTAGTAGCATTGTATTTCATCCATTCAAGTCACAAGTTAGTGTCAGAGAAACCTGTCTCTACAGCCCTCTTATCCTCAAATATGGGATGACTACCATGTCTTTTAAAGTCCTAATGTGTCGTTTGAGGGGATTAACAGTCATGTGCGTGGCACCTACCCATTCAGCTGAGTCATACATGTCCTGTAAGAAAAAGGTCTCCTGTTTATTGTATAAACCTCTTCCCTTCCAATTCAGATTTTATTAGCTGTAATGCTTGGGAGAATAGATTCAAACTTAGTTTCTTACCTTAAAATTATTTGGTACCCCCCTTGACACCCCTATGGCATTAATATACATATATATGTATGTGTGGGTAAAACCACCCTTTATAGGGGTACTCCTTTTTGTCCTGAAGCATGAATGAGGTGTGTCAAGAGTACCTTGGGGATTGTCATGTGTTATGTGTATGGACATAATAACCTAGGCTAGGGCACATTTACTTATTCTTAGAAATCTTGTCTCATGCTACCCTAGTACTGACAGATTCAGATCATTTAAACATTCAATATTAATATCACCACAAACTCAAGATAAGCAGATGATCTTGAAGAAGCTTTGACTGTGCGTATGGCACCTCAGACGTGAGGGCTGCAGGGTAAGGAGTATGTTTGTTTCTCTTTAGTTTCACGAGGTCCCCTTTTGGGGTATTCAGCTTTCCATCGATGGCAGGTGGTCAGGCATTATTATGGCCATCAAAATACCCACTTGTTGATATTTATTTATTTATTTTCAACAAGTATCTTTGTTCTCTAAGAATGGAGTTTCAAAAAGGGTTGTCAAGATCAACAAATGTTACTTCACATGATGCAGAGGCAGGCTTGATTCTGGAATGATGAACCCACGGGGTGATCTCTGTATCTTTCACGGTGCTCTACTCAGCATGTGGTCTTGGTTATCACTTTGGTGGCTGGATAGGCCTCTGGCCATCCTGAAAACATGTCTGCTATAATTAGTGCATATTTGAATCAGCCATTCTTTGGCATTCTGGCGACTTGACTCCTCTGGAAGAGATAATGAGGTTTGGCTAGATGCTTGGGGCTTTCATCCATTCTTCTTGAGTTGCCCTTGGCACAAATGGCACAAGATTTACAGTAACTGTTGGTCAGAGAGGCAATTCCTGATACTTCAGAGTATTTATTGATCAAAAGAGTTCATGAGGGTTCTGGACAGATGCTCCGTAGGCCCACTGGACCACTGCTGAGTATATGTTCTTGGGCAAGTAGAACTTGAGATTGTTGAAGTACAGCCTGTCTTTAAGAGTTGCCCCTTTCTGTTTCCAGCTTGTGGTTTGTTTGTTTTTTCTTTCTTTCCAGGGTCAGTAGCTTGCTCGTTATTCCTTCGGGAGCTTGATGTCTGTGGGTAGGATCTTACATGGTGAATATGGGAGTTTCTTCAGCAGACACTTTTCTGTCCACTTCCCTTAGTGCACTTACAACTTTTTGAACAACTTAGTCAGCCAGAGAGCTGCCACATGCTTCCTCTGAGTTCAGTCTTCCTTCAGAGATCTTGCATGGTGTGATGGGAGTCTATAGCTCAGCTTCTTGTGCAGACATTGTTGAGGTGAGATACTTGGTCCACTGTAGTGACAGCAAATCCGGAACAGATCATGAGGAAAAGGCTAAAAAAATAATAGTCAGTGTCTTATCATTTCCCCCCCTGGGAAGTGGCAGAAGAGTGGCCAGGTAAATAGAGTATCATCCCTGCAGGGTGACACTATCCTGCACAGAATTTGTCCATCACAAGGAGAGGTGGGATATTGCATGGAAAGTCTCAGGGAACCAGGGCACCATTCATCACCAGAGCCTTAACCTGTTAGGGAATAGTAAGAGCTTGGACAGGCTTTGGGGCCTGTATAATTCAGGTAAAGGTATTGGGGGAACTAGCTAGGACCCTTGCCTCTTGGTCAGGTTTCACTGTGTGGAACAAAATAAATAATAAGGTGATAGGGGCCTGCAAGTGGGGGAAGGACATCTGCACCTAGCAGATTAATTGGACAGGTGAAGGTATCCACAAAGCAAGGCTTAGTTAACAGGCTACTCCAAGGAGAGCCATCTACACTTATGCAGGAGACAACAATGTTAGACAGGAATGAGGAGTCAGGCAGGCCTTGCTTGGTACAAATAGATGTCATGTGGCCTGCTATACAAGGCTGCATATAGTTATTGGGCATGGGCCTTACTATGTACTAAAACTTAAGTTAAAAGAAAATTTGGGACAACCTGAAGTGATGCTTCTCCACAGATGCTAACTCATCGTTGATGACATTGTTAATACAGGTAGCCTGATCAGCCAATTTATCTTAGGCTTAAACAAGTCACACCATGTAGTGGAATGGGTCATTAGGATTCGGGAAATTCTACAGTAAAAGGGCATAGTAAGGATGTACGTGATGTTACTTTAGGAGTAGGCGTGGCTGTGGATAGGGGGAAATCAGCCTTATCCATTCCCATATATTATTCCTTTTGTCTTCAGTATATCCAAACCATGTGTATGTCCAGGCGTTGCAATATACAGTAATCCATTATCAGTCATGATATTAAAATCTCATTCTCATTAATTAAATCAAAGATTTTAAATCAACCTCAGAAGTAACAACATTGTTTTTTACCTTCTGTAAAATGATTGGAGTTACTGTATAATTGCATACACCCAATATAACATACATTGCATGTTCCTCACTGCTACATTAGTGTATTTCATTCTGCCATATTTGCAAACTTGATGTACATTTTTATTTTAATTAATTAACCTAATACTTACTTAAAATACATATAAAACAATGAAAAAACAGTTCAGACTAACATTTCATTAAAACAAACTAACATAGAACTCTATTCTTGGCTGTTCTTAATTCTGGAATCAGCCTGTGTACCTCTGTTGGCAGACATATCCATGCTCATTCCCTAAACTGATCATATCTCTTGAAGTTATCTGATTCTTATAACTTTCTGTGTTACGCTGCATTGCTTGTCTGTCTCCTAATTTCGATTTAGCTAAAATTGCTTTTATTTGTCTGATTATAAGTTTACAAGGAAAGGCTTTTATTGATTTATCTCCACATGTATTTTCTCTGTCAAAATTTTCAATCAACAAATTTAATTTCTCATTTGCTTTTGATTTGATATCTCGGATAAAATATCTGCAAGATCTTAAATAATGTTGTTTATTGCACCAAAAACAAATAACTTTAGGAGTTATATTCTGCCCTATATTATCAACTGCCCTATATTTAGTTGAATAAATTGGGAGGGGCTCAGCTGTCTGTATCACTCTACACTCTGTCCTAGAAGAAGAAGAAGAAGAAGGGGGACGGGGGCTGTAACATCTGCACTTCTTTCTCTGCCTAAAGCCACAAGTCGTTTTAACCCCTTCATTCTTGGTTTCCCTCCTTAAGTTATCCAAGAACAAAGCTACTTCTGTCAAAGTGCTTTTTTCTCTAGCTACCACAATTGCAGTTGGATCTAGATCTTGAAATTTTTTCACAAATTCATTAATTAACTGATCTTTTGTTTTTTCTTATTAACAAACAATTTCTTGTCAATTTCACTATTGGCAATTTCACATTGTGTGTATAAAGATTGCCACAAAACAGCATCTGAATAGCTGCTATTACATGCAAACTGCAATTTACTTTTCTCTGCGATATCATTTATAAATTCCACAATTCATTTGTTCCAACAAAATCTAACTTTCCTTATTCCAACATGCCAATAACCTCTTGCTTAACAACATATACAAGATTACACAAAGTTCCTAACTAGGTTATTCGTCCAGCAAATATACCTTGTTTCCCTCACATTCCTCACTGAGTTTACAAGCATTTCACCCATTCACCCCACCCCCCTGTAGCCAATACTCATAGCAGTCAGAGCAAGAGAAAGCAACAAAGAAGGAGGGGGAGGAGGGAGGAAGACTTGCAAGCACAAAGTTTTTTAACCATGTGATTGCCTAAGCACAGCTCTCCTTAGGACAAAAGATAGAATAGGAGAGTAACGATACAAATTGTATAGATTACAATTAACATATATGGTACCCAACAAGACATACACAGACAAAAGCACAAAATACAGATGTAATTAAATCACAAAGTTCTTAAAATAAATGCCGGCTTATAATAAATCAAATCACACACACAGAAACACTCAAGCACATAAACCGCTCCTTTACCAAAGCTTAGCTATTTAAACTCTTGACCGAGTCTTAATAAAACAAAGGAACCGCCAGGTTTTTTACCAAACGAGGCCAAAACATCACTCACTAGCTTCTTTACCAAAGCTTAGCTAAAATAATTTTTTTTTTTTTTATTATTTATTTATTTATTTTTAAACTCTTGACCGAGTCTCGCAATAACTTCTTTACCGAAGCTTAGCTAAAATAAATATAGAGCCAGGGGTTTTCCACCAAACCCGAACTTGGCTAAACCTGCAAGTGCTTAACCACACTTGGCAGCATTATATAACAGTATTAAGCAAGTAGTAAAACAGATTCTCAAACAGACACTTTCACACATAAAACTCACACTCAGGACTCAGGCTGTAGATAGACAAGTGACAGGTTCTATATAAAAGGGGACATTCAGGCATATATATATTACCTGTCTGAAGACGTTAAACACCGGAAGCCGAATGTGAAGGCACGGAGAACAAGAGAAATCCAAAGAAAGGAAAATATAGGTAAGTAACTCATTTACCATATGCAGAGGTGATCAGGCTCCGTTTCCAATCTCTGGGAATCCTTTGCTCTCCTGTCTTGGGATCTGACGGCTGCCTTAGTAACGTATCCCTTAAATGCCCGCATTCTCCACCAAATTGTTTTGGATCAAAGAAAACTTTGATTATTTGTCTATCTACACCTTCCAAATTGATTAATTAATGCGTGCACGCTTTCCCTAGAAGTAATTCACACCGGAGACAAAGTTTCTGATCAGTGAAAAACCCAGGAATGCTTTATTGCCCGGAGTGGGGGCTCCTTCTTAAAGCAAAAATACGTCACAGTTTAAACATACAGTATACATTCACCAATTGGTTAACAGAGAAGGGGGCCTCTTGTTTAAACCCCCCTACAGAATGTAGTGTCATCATTACACACTTTTAGATACACGGAGAAAGGGGGAGTGAGTGGTATCTATCAGTTCTAAACCAATGATCCTCCATTTAGCTATATATGGCATATAGCTGTTAACTGGCACAAAGGTAGTGGGGGAGGGGAGGCTAGCAGGATGTGAGGAATTTACATAGTAAACAGCAGCTGACCACATTGTAGGGGGGGGGAAGGGAACATTTACTCTAGAAGCCAGTTTTAACATAGTGAACAGAGAATAAATAGACATTAGTAAATAGCCATTTTATTTTAATTCATCTGTCCATAACAAGGGGACACATTATAAAGTGATTGTTTTTCATTTAGCCTGTATATGTTCTGCAGAATCTGCATTAAACTGTATTTTCCAAGGTACTGAACGGATCTGGGTGAATTTTGGATATGTGGTTCACCCAGATCCCCCGGTTCCAAGGATATACTTTTTATGTGGTTATTGCATGTTTTGGGGTCCCTGTGTGTTTTATGAAACTGTATAATTTCTGGCCAGCAGATAATTGAGCTTTGTGTATTGTAGAAACTCAATTATCTAGCCTGGCCCAGAGGAGGAGTTTTGTGTTGCATAAATTGTGAGTTCTGTGTGCCAGTAAATTAGTCTTGTTCCAGCATTAAGCCTTGGCTCATGTTTGGGGGAAGGGATACCTACACTCTGGGGATTGCTATAATCACTTACTCCCCAGAGGAAGCTCTTGCAATAGCTTGATTTGTTCCTGTTCCTGCTCTCTGGGGAAAGAGAGGTTCACCCACTGGAAGCTGGATCCTGGCCTTGGGTCCAGGGTGGGTGGAAACAGCAGAGACCCCGGCGCAGTTGCATCGCTGGAAGTGGGGTCTGCAGTGCTGATGGTGTCGGTTGGAGTGCTTGGAGTCCTCAGCGAGCAGTAGGAGCATCGATTGGCGGAGGTACTCAGTCGGAGTGCCAGCGTTCCGTCACATACGCTATTTTGAGTGTTTCCGTTATGAAAGTGGCCCATACAACCGAACCAAACCGCACCATTCCTGGTCCCCCTTCAGATGTAGGGCCATAGGAAATGATACGATACGGTTAGGGCGGAGCTACTGGCGTCACACTATACAATCCATTGATTGGCGGACAGGAAAACGTCAATGCTCACGACAAATGACACGCTAGACATTTGGTCTAAACTCTGCGTGCCCCCGGCGGTCAGACTTCCAGTGGAAACGCTCACTTGAATAGGCTGGATCATTCTAACCCTTCGGAACTGTACCGACCCGACCCGTACCACTCAGTGGAAACGAGGCATACGTTTTCTGGAAATTTCACAACAAAATAAAACACTGAAAATCACATAAACAAGTCAGACATGACAGATTAACTTTAATGAGAGCAGGAAAAAAATGCATCAATGTTACCAAATTAATTTCACTCTATAGTTAATTATTGTGTAAAACATTTCAATGTAAGAACAAATTAGTTACAGATAATAGCAGAGTACGTATGTAAAGTTAATA